ACGGTTACTCTCAGTTCTCATCTTGCTTCACCTCTCAGTAATATTGGACCAGGTTGACCACATAGTTCCTGAAACCTTTGGTTCCAGCCAGACCACACTCTGGTTCCCTTCTACCTCATTGGCTACTCCTCTTCTTCTGCCTGGTCTCTAACAATCTGTGAGATCTCCATTTCTATGTTCTGTCCAGGTTTTCTCAGCCAGTCCTAAGTTTTCAAAGCCATCTAAATGCTCATGAGAACCAAAGTATATCTCCAGCCCCAACCTTTCCACTGAACTCCAGACTCACATCTCTAACCTGCCAACTTGACATATGTACTTTTATGTCTAAAAGCATTTCAAAACTAACACGTCAAAACCAGAACTCTTCATTTCCTACTCCTCCCAAGATGCTATCTCAGAAAATGACATGATATGTCATTTTCCTCAAACCAAAAACATAGGGGCCACTCTTTATTCCTCTTTTCCTTACCCCTAGATCTAATCCATCAGTCAGTTCTCTTGATTCATTCTTCGTAACACCCCAAATCCACCCTTTCTCTTCGTTTTCCCTACTATTACCGTAACTCAAGCACATCCTTTCTCTAAGCTACTGCAACATTGTCCTGTCTGGTGTCTTATCGTCACCTCTTAAATCCATTCTCCACATAGCAATCAGCATGATCTTTGTAAAATATAACTCAGATCATATCAGCCTCCTACTTAAAACCCGTGAATGACTTCCCATAATTCAAACTCCTTACCCTATCCTACAAGATCCAATGTGATCTGATGCCTAGTGTCATGAATTGAATTGTGTCCCCCTAAAATATCTGTCAAATTGGCTAGGTCATGATTCCCAGTATTGTATGATTGTCCACCATTTTGTCATCTAATGTGATTTTCCTATGTGTTGTAAACCCTACCTCTATGATGTTAATAAGGGAGGATTAGCAGCAGTTATGTTAATGAGGCAGGACTCAATCTACAAGATTAAGTTGTGTTTTAAGTCAATCTCTTTCGAGATATAAAAGAGAGAAGCAAGCAAAGGGACATAGAGACCTCATACCATCAAGAAAGTAGTGCCAGGAGAAGAGCGCATCCTTTGGACCCAGGGTCCCTGGGCTGAGAAGCTCCTAGACCAAGGGACGACTGATGATAAGGACCTTCCTCCAGAGTCGACAGAAAGAGAAAGCCTTTCCCTGGAGCTGACAACCTGAATTTGTACTTCTAGCCTACTAGACTGTGAGAGAATAAACTTCTGTTTGTTGAAGCCATCCACGTGTGGCATTTCTGTTACAGCAGCACTGAATGACTAAGATACCTAGTTAACATTAAAAACCTATTTCCAACCACTCTTCCCCTTGCTTTCAATGTGCCAGCCACACTGGCTTTCCTTCTGTCCCTTGGGAACAACAAGCTTGCTCCTGCCTTGGGAACAGTGCACTAGAAACTTCCCTCTGACGTACTGCTCTTCCCCCAAAACTCCACGTGTTCGGCTCCTTATGTCATATAGGTCTCAAGTTAAATACTATCTTCTCAGGCCTTTCCTGCTACTTAATCTAAAAGAGCTGCCCGGGCACTCCCTATTGGAACATCCCATTTTGTTTTCATCATTGCTTTTACCATTCTATGTCATTTGCTTCTTTATGTTTTGGCTTATTTGCCTTCACTCTGCCTTCCCTCACTAGGACAAAAGCTCTATGATACTAGAGTCCTTCTCTGTATGATCCACCACTCTATCCTCACTCTTACAATAGTGTCTGGTATGAAGAAGGCTCTTAGTAAATGTTTGTTGAATAGTGAACTGTCCTAACTTCCCTCTTCCATTCTCTTAACTACTTGAAAATATTTCTGGAACCTTAGCTATTCACTCACTTTTCACACTCTACAAGGTGCTCCCTCTTCTTTTCCTTGGATAAACTGCTGTTGTTGTTGTGTGCTGCTGAGTCGATTCTGATTCACAATGACCCTATAGGACAGAGTAGAACTGCCCCATAGGATTTCCAAGGTTGTAATCTTTACGGGAGCAGGTCATCAGGACTTCTCTCCCTTGGAGCAGCTGGTGGGTTAAAACTATCAACCTTTCAGTTAGCAGCTGAGCACTTAACCATGGAGCCACAGGGCTCCTTGGATAAACTGTACACCTGTGCTATTCATTCATTCATTCAACATAAGCAAGCATTAAGCTATGTGGTAGGGCTACCAATACGAATAGGACATAATTTCTACCCTCAAGAAGCTCATGGCCTGGTTGTGGAGGCAAGCATGTTAACAAATCATTATAAATGCCATGTGGCAATAAAAAGAAATATAGAAGAGGACTATATGAACCCAAGTTAGAGGCATCAGGCTCATCTTCCAGGAAAAAATAACAGGAGATGAGGCTTAAAAGATTAATAGAAAGTCAGCCAGGAGAAGGGATAAAGGAAAATATAAAGCATAGACACAGAAGTGGACATGATAGCATGCCCAGTGGAACTGCAACATCCAGCTTTGCTGAAACAAGATTTGAGACTGGAAAAATGTGCAGTAATCAGATAGTGAAGAGTTTATAGCATTACTTAAGGAGCTTGAACTCTTTAGGCAATATAGTTATAGAAATATCTGAAAAGAAAACCTGCATAAATAGGTTTGCGTATTAGTCAGACCATTGTGTGACTGTATAGAAGATCCAACTTGGGCAGTATACAGTCAGAAGGATCAGGCCAAAGGCTGTTATAATTGCCGAGGTAAGAATAGTAAGAATGCAAAGGAGATGACCCAGAATCGAGAAGGATTTAGGAGGTAGAATGGACAGGACTTGGTGATTATTTCGGTATGGAGAATGTGTGAGAAGGAGTAGTTTCAGATGAAAGAGAGGGAGGGAGGGAAAGAGGAAAGCAAGAAGGCAAGAGAAACACACCAACGGGTCAGGTTTGGGGTGGGAAACTAAAGAGCACCATAACCTGATACGTTAGTGCATAGGTTCTAGAGTTAGACAGAAAGGGTTTAAATTTTGGTTCTGTTCCTTAGTTTCTGTATGACCTTGGTAAGTTACTTTAACTTCTCTAAGTTTCACTTCCCTCACATTAAATGGGAATAATATCAGAACCTACCTCACAGGGTCATTAGAAGAACTAAATGAAATCATGTATGTAATGTTCTTGGCATCCATTACAAAAAAGCCAAACCCGTTGCCGTCAATTCCAACTCATAGCAACCCTATAGAACAGAGTAGAACTGCCCATGAGGTTTCTAAGGAGTGCCTGGTGGATTCAAACTGCCATCCTTCTGGTTAGCAGCTGTAGCTCTTAACCACTACGCCACCAGGGTTTCCACCGGCATAGTGCCTGATATATCAGAAATAGTAACGATTAAGAAACTCTAAAATTATTATATTATCAATCTACCTGCATCTGTGGTCATATGCTTGATTCTTTCTCCAATTACTATGGATGAACTGCCCGTGCTTCTAGCCAAGGCCAACTCTTCTTGTGCACAGAAGCCCACCCCTCTTGCCTATGCAGGGACATCATTCCACCAACTCTTCCCTCTCTCTCCTACATCATCCACTCTCTTCCAGTCTTCTGGAATGCTGGTACTTCTATGTTGTCTTGTTGAGCCAACAACCAAGATGACAGAGTAGAGATGTGAAAAAAGCCTGTGTTAATGATGTTAACCAACCTGGGAGGCATCCTACCTCTGCACTCAGATGAGACATGAAATTATTGTTGAAGTCACTCTAAGCTGCCTTTGTTACTTGAGGATAAAAACATTCCAAGTGATAAACTAATGTTCAGTATTTCTATGATATGGTGTCAACCTTCCTTTCTAGTGGTATTTCTGCTTTTACAATTCATCTACACATACCCCTCTTCTTGTTGTTGCCCTTCGAATCAACTCCAACTCATGGGGACCTTATGTATAAGGCTGTCTGGCCCTGCACCATCTTCATGATCATTGGTATGTTTGAGTCCATGGTTGCGGCTATTGTGTAGATCCATATCATGGAGGGTTTCTTTCATTTTCACTGACCCTCTACTTTACCAAACATGATGTCCTTTTCTAGCGATTGGCTTCACTTGATGATGTGTCCATAGTAAGCGAGCCCAAGTCTCACCATCCTCACTTCTAAGGAGCATTCTGGTTGTATTTCTGCTAAGATTGATTATAGTTCTCCAAATACACTTTGGGCTTTTGAGCTTCTGATCAAGCCATATCCTCCATTCTGAATGCACTTCCCCCAAGATTTTTGCCAAATACTATCATTCAAAAGACAACCAAGTAGACAAATAAAATGTGGTATGGTCAGACTACAGAATATTTGTCAGCCATAAAAAAGAAATACTGATACATACTATAACGTAAATGAACCTTGACAACATTAGGTTCAGAGAAAGAAGCCAAATACTAAAGGCCACACGTTGTACGTTTCCGTTACATGAAATGTCCAGAATAGGCAAATCCGCAGAAACAGAAAGTAGATTAGTGGTTGCCAAGAGCTGGGAGAGGAAGAAATGGGGAGTGACTGTTAACGGATTTCTTTTGGTGACTGACGAAAATGTTCTGGAATTAAATAATGGTAATGGTTGCACAACCTTGTGAATTTACTAAAAACCACTGAACAGTACACTTTTTTTTTTTTACACTTTTAATAGGTGAATTGTATGGTATGTGAATTGTATCATAATAAAGCCATTTTTTTAATGTTATTATTTTCCAAACACAATTTAAGCGCCATTTTCAGCTTTAGCCCTTTCATTAAATTACCTTAAAATTAACTAATCAGATCTAAAATGTTCCAGCAGCATTGTTACCTCTAGCATTTATCATGCACCTTTGTTAGCACTATTTACACAACGCCTAAATCTGCTTTAGACTATTAGCTTCAAAGCACAGGAGCAGTCCAGGAGATCTTATAATATAATGGCTTGCCACTGACTCAGCATAGTCCTAAGTATTTTGTATTTATTAATTCTCTTAATCCTTAGAACAAACCCCAAGAGAGAAATCCAGTTATCCCCAATTTGCAGATTAGGAAAATGACTAACCTGCCCAAGGTTCTGGGGCTAGTAAATTGTCAACCTGGATTCAAATTCAGACAGCACTGAACTGAAAGAGTAAATGAAAATGCAAACGATTATCACACTTCACTTAGTCAAACTGTAAGATTTTTAACATCATCAATAAATAAATAAATAAATAAATATACACACCCTCCTGCAGAGACGATTCCCAACTCATAGTGATCCTACAGGACAGAGTAGAACTGCCCTATAGGGTTTCCAAGGAGCACCTGGTGGATTCCAACTGCAGACCTTTTGGTTAGCAGTCAAGCTCTGAAACACCGTGCTACCAGGGCTCCACTAAAACCAAGTCATCCTGTGTTTCTAAGCACAGATCCAGCTCAGTCAGCATCATTTTTCAGAGGCTAGAACCTGATGGTTTAAGGCACGTGGTTGTGGTTGTTGTTGGGTGCCCTGGAGTCCGTTCTGACTCACGGTGACCCCACATGACACCCTACGTGCTACAGCTCCATAGGACTTTCTTGGCTGTAATCTTTACAGAAGCAGATCACCAGGCCTTTCTTCCGCAGCAACACTGGGTGAATTCAAACCGCCAAACTGCAGGTTAGCAGACCAGAGGAAACCATTTGCACTACCCAGGGACCATGGATTAAGGCATAGAGGACCTAAAAGAAAGATTCAAGTAACCACCAGACAGGCCCACCCCTTCCCAAAACTAGACGGCTGCAGGGCAGTCCTTGTCGATCGGTGCACCCAAGGGTCCTCCAGAGTGCTGGCAAGACCAGTAAGCGGAGAAGTAAGCTGGGAAAGCACAGACAAGTTGCAGGGCAGCGTCCGCCGGCTCTGGACAGAGGGTAGAGGAGGGTGTGGGTGCCGGGAACCCCGGGGAAGCCCTGCCCCGTGGCACGTAACAGAGCTGGTGCCATGCGTGCGTGACAGCAGGAGCAGCTCGGGGCGCAGCAGGGCGGCAGCAGTGGCTGGAAGAGAAACAGCAGAAGACGCCGCGGCCAGCGGGGAGTACGTGGGCCAGGGAGAAGGAAGCGGACATCAGCCTTACCAAGCCAGCCTCCACCCCAGAGCTGGGGACCACCGCCACCCGCGCCTCCTTAGCCGGACAACCGCTGGGGCGCAGGCGTTCCTATGGTGCAGGCGCGGCGGGGCGGAGCCAGGAGCCGGAAGTGCCCCGCGCCCGGGACCGGAACTCCACGGAGGTCCCGCGGACCGATGGAGATCCTCGTTGCTCGGCAACCGTTGTGGGCGTAGCCGGCAGGCTTTACGCTCCTTGGAGGGAGCCTAGCGTGGCACCCACAGCCTGCCCTGGCAACCTCCCGTCTCGCCCGCCTCACTTCGTATCGCCCCTGCTTGCGTCGCGGAATCCCTGTCCCTGGCACTACTTACATCTATCCGGTTCCCACGACACCTTAGCGCCCACCTGCCTCAAGGCCAGGCTCCACCGTAAAGAAGGCGGCCCGAGGCCGGACGTGACCCTTTCGCTGACCGACCACAGCTCCCCGGCCATGGGCACCTACACCTACACCAGCCGGCCACGGCCCCTGCCCTGCCAGCGCCGCCGTTACCGGGACAGCCTGTTGCAGCCGTGAGTGCCCGAGCCGCTCTCCCCAATCAACCTCTTTGTGGTCTCCAGCTGCAGCCCATCCCAGGGCCCGGGCCTGGCCCTCCATGCTGGCGAGACCTGCCTGTGCTTTCCCTTGCCTACACTCCCCCGAAATAAAATTTCTTCTCTAAAAAGCTCTCCAATGGCATGGAGAAACGAAGCAAGAAGGGCGAGTGGCGGCACTGGGACAATTTTAGTGATGTTGTATTGAGTTGCTGGGCATGACTGATGACACGTACACAGAGATCGGCTCGTTTCACAAAGTCTGAGTCAACTAAATGTTTACTGGTGGTCGGCTGTGTGCCCAAGCACCTTACTGGGAGCTTTTTAAATAAGAGACGTCTATCACTTTAAGAAAACAAAAACAGAGAAATTAAATGTGGGCAGGGATTATTTATATGACAAAAGGATTCAGTTTAAAACTGGACTCCTTTCAAAAACACTATCTATTGCCTTTAAATATGGTAAAACCTGTGAAAGCCAGAACCCGTGTAAGGCGGAAACTTGTCAGGGAAGGAAAACTCAAATATTCTCCACTAACAGAGAGCGGTAGAAAAGTGGTAAGACTGCACCCTGCCAAAGGTGGAAAGCTTTGCAAAACCTGGAAAAACAAAGTGGTCCCGTCGCGTTCTGGCTCTCACAGGTTTCACTGTAAACCAGCCAAACCAAACCTGTTGCCCTCGAGTCAATTCCAACTCATAGTGACCCTATAGGACCGAGTAGAACTGCTCTATAGAGTTTCCAAGGAGCACCTGGTAGATTGAAACTGCCAACCTTTTGGTTAGCAGCCATAGCACTTAACCACTACGCCTCCAGGCTTTCCAGGTTTCACCGTAGTTGCTTACAAATCATTATCATTAAATCAGACCAACAAATAAGATAAACAAGAATCAATGGTAGTTCATAAGGAACAAATACTTTTTGTGGGGGAGAGGGAGATAGAGTTAGTTGTTGAAATGTTGAAGTAATTCCTTGATCAGTGTGTTAAGGTAATGCTGAAGACAGTGAAATCTCAATTTCAAAAAAATAGTTGAGACCACTTTCCATGGTAGCCATTATAGCCTTATTAATATTGAAAATGGTCCAGGAGAATACCCACTGCCATCAGAAACAATAGCTACCCTATAGAACAGAGTACAATGGCCCTATAGGGTTTCCTAGGCCGTAATCTTTATGGAAAGGAGCCCTGGTGGTGCAACGGTTAAAGCAGTCGGCTATTCACCAAAGATTGGTGGTTCGAATGAGGTTTGAACCTGCCAGCCACTCTGCAGAAGAAAGGTGTGGCGATCTTCTGTAAAGATTTGGAAACCCTATGGGGGAGTTCTGCTCTGTCCTGTAGGGTCACTATGAGTTGGAATCAACTCAGCGGCAGTGGGTTTGGTTTTTTTTAAATATTTGTGGAAACAGTCTGCCACATTTTTCTCCCATGTAGCTGCTGGTGGATTCGAACCCCCAACATTTTGGTTAACAGCTGAGTTCTTAACCACTGCACCACCAGGGCTCCTTGTCCAGGAGAATACTATTACCTACACTTGCTGATGAGTAACTAGATGACCATATGCAAAGAGAGTATACTTTTGTGTCAATTTGGTGAAAAATCTCCATCCTGTGAAGTCCTAGACCCTCTCTTGATCAAAGTTTTATACTTCAACTGGATAAATCTTTCAGATGACACATGGCTGGAGTGGATAGCTTAATATAATCGAGGAGAGTCAAGGTTCCAAATTACCTTGATGGAGTGTATAAAACCCTGAAACCCGTCGCCACTGAGTTGATTCCGACTCAAAGCAACCCTATAGGACAGAGTAGAACTGCCCTGTTGAGCTTCCGAGGAGGGCCTGGTGGATTCAAACTGCCGACATTTTGGTTAGCAGCCAACCACTGTGCCCCCAGGGCTCCGACAGAGTGTATAACTGGGCTGAAATCAGAAGATGAAATGTAATTGGATGACTGTAAAGTTCTATAAGTATGGAAAGTCAATTGCAGGAATACCTGATTTTCCCTTTGGAAAGAATCTAAAAATTTAACACAAGCCTAATGTGAGCCTAATGCGGTTTAGGTAGTTTAAGGCCTGGTGGTCTACTTCCGAAGATTAGCCAAGATTCCACCTTTTCTTAGAATCATAAGTCTTAAATACCAATTTTCTCATTTTACAAGCAAGAAAATATAATACATCTTTTATGTACTTGTTGGTAGTTAAGTGACAATAAACTCTATTAAATTCACCTTTAAGGATATCTTAGTTATTTAGTGCTGCTATAACAGAAATACCGCAAGTGGGTGGCTTTAACAAACAGAAATTTATTTTCTTACAGTTTAGGAGGCTAGAAGTCCTAATTCAGGGTGCCAGCTCCAGGGGAAGCCTTTCTGTCTCTGTCTGCTCTGGGGGAGCGTCCTTGTCTCCTCAGCTTCTGTTTCCCAGTTCTTTGGAGATCTCCATCTGGTTTGGCATCTGTCATCTCCCATCTCTGCTTCCTGAATCTGCTCCTTTTATATCTTATAAGAGATTGACTCAAGACACACCCTACACTAATCCTGCCTCATTAATATAATAAAGACAACCCATTCCCAAATGGGATTATAACCACAGGCATAGAAGTTAGGATTTATAACACATATTTTGAGGGAACACAATTCAATCCATAACAAGGCATGTGTCCAAAGAAAACTGTGATAATGACATCCTTATTTCACAAATCCTTTGGTAAAGGATTCATAGCCCTTCTAATGAAACAGCAATGTTTCTAAATGTGAATAAATTGACAAAATTACCTTAGAATATATTTTTTATTTGATCCTGCCCAGTTGAATCATTGTGGTATGCAGAACAATTGTCCCCCAAAGAATAATGGTCCTAATCCCAAGAACCTGCGAACATGTTACCTTACATGGCAAAAGAGACTTTGCAAATGTGATTAAGTTCAGGATATTGAGATGGAGTAGTTATTCTGGATTATCCAGGTGGGTCCAGTGTAATCACAAGGGTCCATTTAAAAGGGAGGCATGAGGGTCAGAGTCAGAGGAGGAGATGTGACAATGGAAGCAGAGATTGGAGTGATGCAGTTACTGGAAGGCCCACAAGCCAAAGAATGCAGGCAGCTTCTAGAAGCTGGAAAAGACAAGGAAACGGATTCTCCCCTAGAGCATCTGGAAGGAATACAGCCCTGCTAATATCTTGATTTTAGCCTGGTGAGACCCATTTTGGACTTCTGACCTCCAGACATGTAAGATTATAAATTATGTTGTTTTAAGCTACTAAGTTTGTAGTAATTTATTACAGCAGCAATAAGAAGCTAATACAGTCGTAGACAGAACTGTGTTCTTCAGTGTTTATCTTTGCTTTTTCCAGATTTTCCTGTTTTCTCCACTTGTCCTACCCACTGAATGTCCTTTTCTCTTCATCCATTTCCATGTCAAAACAGGAATGGATACAATCTCATTTATGATTATGAATAAGTAGGAATGAGTTAGGGAATATTGATACGTTAGTAGCCTTGTCTACTACCCATCTGTCAGTTTATCAAGCTGTGGTGGCTTGTGTGCTGCTGTAATGCTGGCAGCTATGCCTCTGGTATTTCAAATACCAGTAGGGTCACCCATGGTGGACAGGTTGCAGGGCACTTCAGACTAAAACAGACTCGGAAGAAAGGCCTGGCGATCTACTTCTGAAGATTCACCAATGAAAACCTTATGGATCACAACAGAACACTGTCCAATTGGCTTGCTTTGGACAAGTTATCAGGAGGGATCAATCACTAGAGGAGGACACCATGTTTTGTAACACAGAGGGCCAGCAAAGGCAAGGGAGACCCTCCGTGGGATGAATTGGCGCAGTAGCCACAATGATGGACTCAAAGATGCTGGCAATCGTGAGGATGACGCAGGCCCGGGGAAGTTTCCTTCTGTTGTGCATAAGGTCACCACGAATCAGAGTCAACTCGACAGCAGCTGACAACAGTAGCCGTGTAAGCCATTAACCTCCGATTCTCTATAAGAACTTTTAGACATCTGCAGGTAGGTAGAGAAGAGACCCGGGGGGGGGCTCTAAAATTATCAGCTTTTAAGGAGCTCTAGAGGCAAATGTAATTTTAGGTGGTTTAAGGATTGGGTCTATTAAGGTCTCTTTCCTCATTCAGATGGCTCAGATCAACCCAGCAGAGAAGTAGAGAGTGCCATGGGGAGGACGGCTGGTGTCAGATGGTGAAAAAGTTGGAGAGTGGAGGTATGTCTGGCCTCCACCTCGTAGGAATCAGCTTTGTGCTGATGGTGATTCTCTCTCCCCCTCGTGAATTTGGACGGCTTCTGACACCGCTAGATCACACAGAAGTTGTGCGGAAGGTACAGCGAGGTCCCATTCATCCTCTCCCCCTGCACGTTGTTTCCCTGTTACATCCTGCATTCCCGTGGCCATTGGTACTTTTAATACGATCAGGTGGAGCACTTTAACTTTTCTCCAGCAGCTTCACCAGCAATAGATTATGGACTTTTGTTTTTTGACAGTGTCGTGGGTCCAAAATTGTTCCTCATTGTTAGTTTAATTAGCACTGTTGTTGTTAGATACCGTCCAGTTGGTTCTGACCCACAGTGACCCCATGTACAGCAAATCGTTGCCCAGTCTTGCACCGTCCTCAGTGTTGAGTGGCTTGTCTTCCGGCACTTTATCAGACAGTGTTCCGCTGCTGTCCGTAAGGTTTTCACTGGCTAATTTGTTTTTTTTTTGGAAGTAGATTGCCAGGTCCTTCCTCCTAGTGTGTCTTAGTCTGGAAGCACCACCGAAACCTGTCCACCATGGGTGACCCTGCTGGTATTTGAAATACTGGTGGCATAGCTTCCAGCATCACAGCAACACACAAGCCACCACAGTACAACAAACTGATAGTGGTAATTAGCAGTAGGAGGCTTTAAACAAGTAAGCATTGTTTGGATTTTCCGTTTGAGAAGATCAGTGGCTGCGATGTAGGCAGCAGGTTGAAATGGTCAGGCTGCTAAGAGACTGGTGTGGTAACCCAGGTAAAAGGCAGCGCGGCTGGGAGCAATGGGTGGATACGAGGGAGATTTGGGGGCAGAGTCATAGGACTTGCTCGATGTGGGGGCGGGTAAGGGGTAAGAATCAGAGATGACAGCCAGGTTTCTGGGTTGAGCCAGTGGGTGGTCCGCAGTACCATTTGCTGAGATAGGGAACACTGAAGATGTAACGAGATGAAGTGATGAACAATAATTAGTTGAGTAGTTGAATTTTGAGGTTGCCTTTGAAACATCCTTGTGAGACGTCAATGGGCAGTCAGTATACTGGGCAGTCGGTATACATGCCTGGAGCTCAGAAGAGACGTCTGAGCTCTGAAGGTACAGTAAAATTGGGAGTTTTAGGTATCAGGATCCTAATCGCAGCCTTGAAAATAGATGAGGTCAACTGAGGACAAGAGAGGGCTGAGCTCTGAAGAAACCCTCCTGTCCGGGAGGAGCCAGCAAACAAAGACCAGCCGAGCAGTAGGAAACCGATCCAAAGACCGCAGTGGAGTCACGGGCCAAGGAAAGAGAGCGTTTCAGGAAGGAGTGGTCAGCTGAGCTGGACACTGCACAGAGGGCCAGTAAGATGAGGAGTGAAACCTGTCTGGGTTTTAAATAATATGGAGTCAGGTCATTCGTTAGTGGCTTCAGCATATGATAAGTAAGCAACATACTGCCCTCTCAAAATCATTTCTGATAGAGCACCGTTATTGGCATAGAGTCGGTGTTTGGTTTCATAGCTGTAAATAGGATATCGTTTGAAGACTTCTGAATGAAAATACTAGGTGTGTGTTTTTCACTATTGTTTCATTCTGATCCCTGAAATTAAATTTTTGTCAACATTTAAAACAATAACTTTTAAAAAAAGATTGAGTTTAAAGAACAATGAGAAATCTGACTTATTTTTTTAAAGCCAGATTGTTTTATTAATGTAACTTTCAAATCCTTGAATCAAACTTTTTTTAGTCCTTTAGGGTGGGGCCCTTTTCAGACGGGCCGTTTCACACATGTTCAGTAGTCCCAACAGATTTACAGTCTAAATGCAGCTCTGCCACTTACTTGCTAAGTGACCTTAGGCAGATTGCTTTCTGAGTCTGTGTCCTCTTCTGCCAAATGGGAATCATGGTACCTAACTTGATGACTTACGGCGAGTAAGGAAGGATCATGTGTGTGAAGGGCCTGGTTTGTAATATGCCTTCCCTGACTGGTAACCATCTGTCTTCTTATTTTATGGATTGTGCTAAAACAAAAATCTATTTAAGTATTTTCGTCTTAATCCAAATCTTACTGAAAATCACTTCCATTTATAGATACCAACACTCTATTAAGGCAGTTATTTAAAATTTGCTGTTTTACAGAGAGAACGAACCTATGCATTTTGGAAACATAATGTATGACAGAAGGGTGATCCGAGGCAACACTTATGCTCTACAGACGTTACCGCTGGTTAGTATAATTTGAATGGTCTAACACAGAGATTCCTAGGTTATCTGTGGTGAAGGACCAATTTGTTTGTTTGTGTGTTTGTTGCAGACCAAAATGTATAAAATACCATAACGATGAATTACTAAAAAATGAAATGAAAAAAAAAAGCACACAAAATATGGTTCAATTTTATTATTAGATTCAAAAAAGTCTAATTGTCATAATTGCTCTGAAAGTTTCTAAACTTTTACTCTCAATTTCTGTCCTGAAATTGTTACAGAGCTGGGCCCACAGTTCATGGATGGCACTAACCTGAGAGCCACACGCTGAGCGGTACTGGCCTAACCCATTCAGGTCACCATTACTGGCTTGCTTAGATGAGCCGTACTCTAATACTATGTCATTATTTAATCAAAAACTCTGAGTTATGCTTCTTTAATTCACTCTGCAAATATTTATTGAGTATTAGGTCTTCTGCCGAGTACCTAGGATACAGAGATGAGTAAGACATGATATGATATTAAATGTGATGATTTCTTGGCACAGAACTAAAATACGGTTAGGTTAATCTATAAATAGTATATAATGTCTAAGTGCCTAACACCACACGGATATATATGGAATGTTAGATCATCTGAAGCAATGGTTCTCAAACCTGGGTGTGCATCAGAATCACCTAGAAAACTTATTAAAAATATGTATGCTTAAATCCTACCTTAGAACTACTGAACTGAAACCTCCAAGGATTAGACACAGGAATATGCATTTTTAATAAACTTCTCTGGGTAATTTTGATACAGTCAGTCCAGGAACCAGCATTTGGAACCAACACTTCAAACATGATATAGACGTATGCCTCAACATTTTCTTGTGATGGTACCAGGAACACTGGCATACCTAGTACAAATATAGAAAATAGAACCATCTACATTTTTCATTTCTTAGTCAACTAATGGAGCCCCGGTTGCACAGTGGTTAAGCACTCACCTGCTAACCGAAAGGTCAGCAATTCGAGCCCACCAGCCGCTCCGTGAGAGAAAGATGTGGCAGCCTGCTTCCATTAAAATTACAGCCGTTCAGACCCTGTGGGGCAGTTCTGCTTTTCCTGTTGTTGTTGTTCGGTGCTGTCAAGTCAGTTCCAGCTCATAGCAACCCTACATACAACGGAACAAAACACTGCCTGGTCTTGGGCCATCCTCACAATCGCTGTTATGCTTGAGCCCATTGTTGCAGACACTGTGTCAGTCCATCTCCTTGAGGGTCTTCCTCTTTTTCACTGACCTTCTGTCTACTTTACCAAGCATGATGTCCTTCTCCAGGGACCGATCCCTCCTGATAACATGTCCAAAGTAAGTGATATGAAGTCTCGCCATCCTTGCTTCTAAGGAGCATTCTGGCTGTATTTCTTCCAAGACAGATTTGTTCATTCTCTAGGCAGTCCATAGTATGTTCAATATTCTTCGTCAGTACCATAAATCAAAGGCGTCAATTCTTCGGTCTTCCTTATTCATTGTCCAGCTTTCGCATGTAGATAAGGCAATTGGAAACACCATGGCTTGGGTCAGGCGTACTTTAGTCTTCAAGGTGACTTCTTTGCTTTTTAACACTGTCCTATAAGGTTGCTATGAGTGGGAATCGACTCAACGGCAACAGGTTTTAGTCAACTAGTTAGCACCATACCTTAAAAGTCTCCACTGAGACTTTCAGACAAGATGGAATTCACCCATTCCTTCCTAGTTCTCCCCCTAAAAACCCTAGCCATAACATAAACAAACACAGAAAGACTCTGAAAGGTAGAAAGCAGAAGGTGCAGTGGCGAGGGATTTTGGGACTTGAACACAATGGCTGTGAGTTCCCTAGGATTTCTTTTTACCTCCTCCATATCCCATTCAGGACACTGGGGAAGCCTCTAACCCAGAACCACCAACAGGGTCAACCCCGGGAAAGCCTGCTCCCTCTAGCCAAAGAACTAGCAAAAGGGCAGCCTCCCAGAACAGAACACGTTTTGACAGTACTACACCTCTACTCTAGCCTAACACCGACAGAACTGCTCTGCCCCTCTCCATGGTGTCGGCAAGGCCGAGGTGGGAGTTGAACTTCCATCCCCACATGGCAACAACAAGGCAGTGCTAGTCGACCCTCCACTTCCCACATTAAAAGATTAAAAGGATAATAAGGGAATACTACATAAATTTGATGACTTAGATGAAATGAACCCTTCAAACTGTCAGCTACCAAAACTCACTCAGTATGAAATAGATAATCTGAATAATCCTGTAACTGCTAAAGAAATTGAATTTCTAATTGAAAAATTTCCAAAAGGGAAATCTCCAGGCCGAGATGGTTTCACTGGAGGATTCTACCGGATGTTTAATTATTATCATCAATTTTAAGGAAATACTTCAAAACTCATTTTATGAGACTAGCGTTGCCCCGATACCCAAACCAGACAAAGGGGGGAAAAAAAAAACTAGAGACCAATATTTTTCATGAAGTTAGTTGCAAAGATCCTCAACAAAATATTAGCAATAGAATCCAGCAATATATTAAAAGTATTATACACCACAACAAGTGGGATTTATTACAGGAATGCAAGGATGTTTCAATATTTGAAAATCAGTCAATGTAATCCACCATATCCACAAGCTAAAGAAGAAAAATCACATGATCATATTCATTGATGCAGAAAAGGCATTTAACAAAATTCAACATTCATTCATGATAAATACAGAAAATTAGGAATAGACAGGAACTTTCTCAACTTGATACAGCATCCACAAAATAGCTACAACTAATACCATACTTACTGGTTAAAGAGTGAAAGCTTTCCCCATAAGATCAGGATTGAGACAAGGATGTCCACTCTCACAGTTCTTATTCAACATAGTGCTGGAAGTTCTAGCTAGTGCAACAAAGAAATAAGATATCAAGATGAGAAAGGAAGAAATGAAACGATCCCAATTTGCAGATAATAATATTATCTACATAGAAAATCCCAAGGAATCTACAAAAAACAAAAAACTCTTGGAGCTAATAAATGAGTTCAGCAGCACTGAAGGATACAAGGTCAACACACAGAATCAGTCATCTTTCTGTATACTATAAAGGAACATGTGGAAAACAAAACTTAAAACACAATGCCATTTACAGTCACTCAAAAAATGAATACCTAGGCATAAATCTAACGAATACATGGGCTGTAACCTGAAAATTACAAAATGCTAGTGAAAGAAATCAAAGAATATCTAAATAAATGGAGAAATATACCATTTGCATGGATTGGAAGACTCACCATAATAAAGGTGTCAGTTTTCCCCAAATTGATCTATAAATTTAACACAATTCCTATCAAAATACAAGATTTTATGCAGATATATGCAAGTGTATTGTAAAAATTTATGGAGAGGCAAAGGAACTAGCATAGTAAACAATTTTGAAAAAGAAGAGTAAAGTGGGAAGAATTCTACCAATGTTAAGACTTACTGTATAGTCCTTTGGAAGAAGTACAGCCAGAACGCTACTTAAGTGAGAATGGCGAGACTTCATCTCGTGTACTTTGGAAATGTTATCAGAAGGGACCAGTCCCTGGAGAAGGACATCATGCTTGGTAAAGTAGAGGCTCAGCGAAAAAGAGGAAGACCCTTGACACAGTGGCTGCAACCATGGGCTCAAACATAATGATTGTGAAGATGGCACAGGACCAGGCAGTTTTTGTTCTGTTGTACATAGGGTCGCTATGAGTCAGAACTGACTTAACGGCACCTAACAACTACAACAACGTGTAGCGCTAGTAATCAAGACTGTGGTATTGGCAGAGGTTTAGACACATGGATCAATTGAACAGAAGGGAACCCAGAAATAGACCAGCAAAAATATATCTAGCTGATTTTTTTACAAGAGGACAAAAGCAATTCAATGAAAGAAAGATAGCCTTTTCAACAAACAGTGCTGAAGCAATTGCACATATATAGGCAAAAATAATAAAACGAACTTCAACCTAAATCTCACATCATATACAAAAATTAATGCAAATGGATTATGGAGTTAAAACTACAAAACTTTTAGAAGACAACGTAGGAGAAAACCTTCAGAACCTAGGGCTAGGCGAAGAGTTCTCAGATATCACACCAGAAGCACAATCCATAACATAAAAAATAATCAATTGGACTTCATGAAAATTAAAAACTTTGTGATGTGAAACCCAAACCAAACTCATTGCGGTCAAGTCAATTCCAACTTATAGGAACCCTACAGGACGGCTTAGAACAGTCCCATAGGGTTTTCAAGGCTGTAAATCTTTACTGAAGCAGACTGACATCTTTCTCCCGAGGAGTGACTGGTAGGTTCTAACCACCAACCTTTCGATTAGCAGCCAAGTGCTTACCCACTGCACTGCCAGGACTCCTCTTGTGATGTGAAAACCCTCTTAGTCATCTAGTGCTACTGTAACAGAAATACCACAAGTGGATGGCTATAACAAATAGAAATTTATTCTCTCACAGTCTAATAGGCTAGAAGTCCAAATTCAGTGTGCCAGCTCCAGGGGAAAGCTTTCTCTCTCTGCCAGCTCTGGAGGAAGGTCCTTGTCATCAATCTTCCCTTGGTCTAGGAGCTTCTCTGCGCAGGGACCTCGGGTCCAGAGAACACACTCTGCTTCTGGCACTACTTTCTTGGTGGTATGAGGTCCCCCGTCTCTCTGGTCCCTTCTCTCTTAGGAGATTAACTCAAGATACAACCTAATCATATAGGATGAGTCCTGACTCATTAACATAACTGCCTGTAATCCTGCCTCATTAACATCATAGAGGTAGGATTTACAAAACATTGGAAAGTCACATCAGATGACAAAATGGTGGACAATCACACAATACTGGGACTCGTGGCCTAGCCAAACTGATACACATTTTGGGGGGACACAATTCAATCCATAACAGACCCTGTTAATATGTTGGAAAAGGCAAGCTACAGAGAAGAAAATATTTGCAAGCCACTTATCCAACGAAGGTCTTATATCTGGAATACATAAAGAACTCTCCAAACTCAACAGTAAAAGAACAGTCAGATAACGGTCAAAAGATATGAGGAGACATTTCACCAAAGAGTAGATATGGATGGCAAGTAATCACATGAAAAGATGTTCAACATCATTAACCATCATGGAAATGCAAGTTAAAACCACAATGAAATGTAACTACATACCTTTTAGAACAGCTAAAACAAAAAATAGTAATAAGAACAAGTGCTGATGAGGATGTGGAGCAACTGGAAGTCTCCTACATTGCTGATGGGAATGTAAAATAGTGTACAACTTCAATTTCTACTCTGGAAGATTGTTTGGCAGTTATTTACAAAACTAAGCATACACTTACCATTCAACCCTGCAATTTCACTCTTAGGCATTTATCCCAGAGAAACGGAAGCTGATGTTCACACATAAACCTCTACGTGAACATTATTCAGAATAGCTTAAACTGAAAACACAACCTAAGTGTTCTTCAGGAGGTAAATGGCGAAACAAACTCTGGTACCTCCATACAAAGGACAACTGCTCACTAATAAAAACTGACTATTGATACGTACAACAACCTGGAAGGATCTTAGGGCATTATGTTTAGTAGGAAAAAAAAAAGCCAGTCTCAAAGGTCATGTACTGTATAATTCCTCTTACATAACATTCTTAGATGGACAAAACTATAGAGACGGAGAAGAGATCGGTGGTTTCCGGGGGATAGGGGTGGGAGGAGGCCTGGGTACAAATACAGAAATGTAGCACAAGGGCATTCCCTTGTGGTGATGGCAAAGGTTTACATCCTGATTGTGGTGGTGGTTACACAAGTCTATGTAGGGAAAAATGCATAGCACTATATACACAGACAAGGAGTCCTGGTGATGCAGTGGTTAAATGCTCGGCTGCTAACCAAAAGGTCAGCAGTTCAAACCCACCAGCTGCTCTGTGGGAGAAGGATGCAGCAGTCTGCTTACATAACGATGACAGCCTTAGAAACCCTGTGGGGCAGTTCTACTCTGTCCTGCAGGGTTGCTGTGAGTCAGAATCAACTTGATGGCATCGGGTTTGGTTTTTTTAATATACACAGACACGCACAAATGAATGCACGTAGACGTTGCGAAAACTGAATGAGGACTGTTAACAGTGTTTTACCAACGCTGATTTTCTGGTTTGGGCTTGGTACAATTAGACGTCACCACTGGGGGGAGCTAAGGGAAGAGTACATAGGACTCTACGCACTTTTTTGCAATTTCCTGTGAATCTGTAATCATTTCAAAGTAAAACTTTTTTTTTTAAAGCAATGTTTAACTAGACCCCTGAAATAGTTAACGATGGGTAGAACATTTCTAAAATGAACTTGTCAAATTTATGTGAACACCCCAAGAGCTGACATTTATAATTCTGCTCCATTGAGAAAATGGAAATAAGCATGGTATTTATAATAACGTAGAATAAATACACAAGTTAAAGAATCTCAAAATATTAGTAATTGTATTTGAAAAATGGAATTATAGATGATTCCTCTTATTTTGTAATGTGCCTTATTTTATAATAAAAGGAAATGATTATGTCGGGTACTGTTATACTATTTACATTATCATCTGATTTGTTCCTTACAACTTGAAACCTTAGATTGATGTTTCTGGTATTCCCATTTTACAGATGAGAAAACTGGGTATCTGAAAATTTAGGTTCTTAGTCCAAGGCTTACTAATTCTAGTAGTTAACAAATTGAAGAGTTGGAATCTGAACTTCAGAGCTAATGCTCTTCTTTCCACTGTTCAAAGCAAATATAGGGAAAAGTTTATAATATATAGGTGTTATGTTAGAAAAACAGTATAGTGTCAGTGGTATCATCACAACTTCAAAAACTGTAGCATTTAAATGACAGTAGCCATTATATTAGGGAGACGGGATTGTAGGTAATTTTTACTTCAATGTTGCTGCACTGTCGCTTCAGTTAAAAAGTTTTCCGAATTCTAATTTTAAATATTAAAATTTTTTATGTTCGGTGCTTTCATCTTTCCTTTTGTTTTCCTGTGCGCTTCGCGATAACATAGGTCAGCTATAGAGAATGCCCCATATCAAATCAAGAGCCGCCAAATATCGAAGAACACTGTGAATAATTGTATTTTAATCCCTTAATCACTGGACAATGAATAAGGAAAATCAAAGAAGAATTGATGCTTTTGAATTAGGGTGTCGGCGAAGAATATTGAATATTCATGGGCTGCCAGAAGAACGAACAAGTCTGTCTTGGAAAAAATACAGCCAGAGTGCTCCTTGGCAGCAAGGATGGCGAGACTTCATCTCACATACTTTGGACATGTTATCAGGAGGGCTCAGTCCCTGGAGAAGGACATCAGGGTTGGTAAAGTAGAGGGTCAGCAAAAAAGAGGAAGACCCTCAAGGAGATGGACTGACACAGTGGCTGCAACAATGGGCTCAAGCATAACAACGACTGTGAGGATGGAGCAGGACCGGGCACTGTTTGGTTCTGTGGTGCATGGGGTCTCTGTGAGTCAGAACGGACTCAATGGCACGTAATAACAACAACAGCAATCCCTTAATCAGTTGTGTTTTTGTATGCTTGGACAGGCTTCACTTGGACTGAGGATATTTTCTTTGTGAACTAAAATATTTTTAAGGAAATTCTATCCAAATGAAATTCGGATTAAAAAAAATCTAATGCTTTTCAGTTTCTTAACTACACATTAAAGTTTATTGTAACTGAAATTCATATGAGTTCTACTAGGCACCAGAGGAATTCATGGTAAAAATGCTTGAGTGAGGAAAGATAGTTTATTATATAGGGTTCTGTAGCCATTTATCCCAGTTAATAGCCATACTTTGAAGTTATTTTTATGCTACCAGATATCTTTGTAATTACCTGACAAAGTTCCCATAAAACTTGAATCATCCCGTCACTAATAATCTGGAAGTGTTTTCATGACAGATGCTTTGATACTATCTAGGAATCACCTTCAGAAGGCAGGTCTATATGCTAAATGTAAAAGCCTCTTCTGTCACCGTTAGGCTGGGCAGCCAGATCCTGTCGAGCTTCAGAGGCAGCAGCAGGCTAAGAGGAGGGCCCTCGCCAGGAAGCGAGCCCGAGAACAGCTCCGACCGCGCACTCCTGAGCCTGTGGAAGGCAGAAAGCACGTGGATGTGCAAACAGGTGTGCTCCCATTGCCGTTGGCTTACTCAGGTTTTCATCACGGTTCATTTTTATTTGGCCTTTCTCTGTATTGTTTATGTATTTCACATGCTTCCCAGTACTTCCCCAGTCACATGGTGGGGAGCAGTATATATTATTGTATTGGGTATGGCTGGAAGTGTGGAACAGTCACATATTCTATTCTTAAACTAGGATTATTTCTCACTTTTCATCTGCATCCCCCATCATGAGTCCCTGGTCTTTTCATCAGGACTTGCAGGGCAGTGTGAAATGGGGACCCAGTCCATTTTGGCATTTTATTGGTCTGTTGAGAGGAGGACACCCACTCAGATCTGAGTCCCATCCCTTTCTTACCAAGTCCCCTTCCACTCCCTCGTTTTGTTCTCCTTTCGCTTTGTACATTCCCCAGGGCCACACAGCTCTCCTGAGGCCAGTGCCAGACTTCTTCCTACTTGTCTGACTATTCTAGATGCTATGGAGGCTTACCTAGACCCATAGGGTCTAGCTGTGTTGTTGACAGAATCTCGGCAACCAGACAACACTTGGTGTTTTCCTAGGACCAATGTAACTACTCAAGATCCACCGGGTACCCTGGCAAGATGGTGAGTGGAGTCATCAGGGTTCTTTCCAGGTGGTAAGAGCAAAAAGAAGAGAACCATTCCACTCTTTTTCCTCTGCCTTGAGGCCAAGTCTAGAATCTGTGTATGTCTGTGATTAGCCAATTTAGTTATAACTCTGAGAGTTAGGTTTCACGTTTATGTTATACCATGAGAGTAATAAATGACATAATAGCAGCCACCTTGTGTTGAATATTTCCTGTATCTCTGAGACTATACCAGGTCCTTTACCTGTGTATCTTCTTATATTACTACAAAGACTCCATGAGACAGATCATTATGATCCCCTTTACAGATGAAGAAACTGAGGCCCAGAGAAGATATAACTTGGCTAGGTCCCGTGTTCAACATCTGACTCCAGTATTCATGTTCTTGGCATGATACCACACTGCCCCTGCCTCCTATGAGTTATTTCTAAGATGAAACTTGTTTTCATGTATGTTTATAATCTGTAGAGTAGAGAGAACATTAAGTAACCTGGTCACATGGTGCATGATTTTAAAAAACATCCAGGAGTTTTCAACTTGTTATACATGATCACGTTATCAGTCATCCACACATGTTATTGTCTTCCCACTTCCCATTATACTTTGCATCTAGTACACACCCCTGATCTTGTACTCTTTTTTAGTTCTGTTTTCAAATACAAAGCTCGGTGCTTTCTAGACAGTCAATAAATGTTCTGTAGTCTTCCAAACATGTAAAAACTCTTAGTTCCTCATGTGATTTGAACTCCACATTTGAGCACTTTCATTCTAAGACTTACTTTCTGATGCATTTAATTCTATTTTAAAGGAGCTAAGGTTTCAAAATACACATATATGCTTGAAATAGATGAGAATTTCAAACTCAATGTATATGCATTCTTCTTAGAATTGTACCTTGAAGAAATTGCTGACCGCATAATAGAAGTTGATATGGAATGCCAGACAGATGCGTTTTTGGACAGACCACCAACACCTCTCTTTATTCCTGCCAAAACTGGCAAAGACATGGCCACCCAAATACTGGAAGGAGAGGTAAGGTACATACTTTGGGCTTCCCTCTATCTTTTTATAAGTGAATTAAAGTTAGGTTTAATTAAAAACTTAATATGTGCTAGAACCACTTCAGAGGGCCCTGGTCATACAGTGGTTAAAGCACTTGGCTGCTAGCCTAAAGGTTGGTGGTTCAAACCCACCAGCCATTCCATGGAAGAAAGATGTGGCAGTCAGCTTGCATAAAGATTACAGCCTTGGAAACCCTATGGGGCAGTTCTGGTCTGTCCTGTAGGGTCGCAATGATTCGGAATCTGCTCGACAGCAATGAGTTTTTGGTTTTAGAACCACTTCACAATCAGAAAGATTTTACTTATTGACTTTAATCTAGGTATTATCTGTAAGTTTTTTCCTGCAATACTAGAAATGTTTTTAAATACTATGTTCTTATTTCTTCTCTTTCTGATCAAGAATGAAATCATTAGAAATATTTTTAGAATATATAAACATTTAATTTGTTTGCATGCTGTTTATGTATGTATATTAGGTAGACTTGTACCAAATAAGAAAAAATAACAACCTGGTGTAAAATAAGATACCCCTATTAGTTGCTTGTGTAATACCTAACTTCTATGAAGACAATCTCTCTGTGTTAAAAATAACTTTAAAAAAATTACATTTTTATCAATGTGTCATGCATAAGTAGGGCAGTTTATGAAATTGAAGAACAGACGGAAATGCTTATATGCATAATGACTTAAATGATTTAAGACTTAAAGAAGCTTTAAAGAACTGTCATTGAAATAAAATATCTTCAGAAGCCCCACAGGAGAGTACATTTGCCTGTAAATCCTAGAAATGGATCACCAAAATGTCCGTTATTCTTGTTCCTTAGTTCATCAAACTGTTATCAAAAACAACCAGTAAAAATTGAGCAGAAAAAGCACTGAATAAGAAAGACAGGATATTTCTCTTGGGTTTCAGAGTTTGATCTTAAAATTGTTGAGTATCAGGGTTCATCTTGCTGACTTTTGTAACTTTGACTTAATAGAATTTTGCCTGTAAACAAAATGCTGTTCGGTGTTCCTTGCAGGGTTGCTTTGAGGATTAAAGACCATAGATAAAGTGCCAGCATGGTGTCTGGCACACAAAAGACACTCACATAATATCCCACTATTACTATTGTTCTTTTTATATTTTTCTATTGGGCACTCAGTTCATGATTGAAATTTTAAATTTGCTTTATTTTGTATGTTTAAGCTCTTCGACTTTGATCTTGAAGTTAAACCAATGCTAGAAGTTTTGGTGGGAAAGACCATCGAGCAGTCTCTTCTGGAAGTAATGGAAGAAGAGGAGCTGGCCCACCTGCGGGCCAATCAGTACGCGTACGAAGAATTACGGAATATCGAACTCGCTGAAGTTCAGCGACTTGAAGAGCAAGAAAGACGACACCGAGAGGAAAAGGTACGGAATTCTGTTTTTCTTTCTTAGATAATATTTGGCTATTTAACGCATTATGCTCAAAATTACACGTACTATGTCATAAGATCTTTGGAACTATGTTAGAAAAAGACCGATAGTATGTGTTGCTCAGGTCTCTCCTCTTGTATGACTAGATCATTCATGGACTGAATTACATGTTTTAGATTCCATCTTACATAAATTGAGTTCCCAAGGGTTGTTAAATGGAATAATTTAAATTATGTGTGTCTGAAATGGAAGGGACTCTTAAATATGAGGAGTCCGAGAGAAAGAAAAAATTGATTTGCCAAAGTCAGTGGCAGAAAAGGTTGAGGGAAGGAAAAAGTGGAATGTTTTGGGGAGGGGCGAGGGGTAAGAAGTAGGGGATCTAGACAGAATCTGGGTCTTTTCCCCCATGGCCAGGCCCTTTTCTGTGCCCTTGGGGGTACACCACCACTACTTGGGTCCTTACAGAATAATTTTCACGTTATAGGTGTTTAGAACCTTCAATAAGCAAAGTTTTATAATCCAGTTTTTAAAATATGCCAATGACCTTCCAGTTAGGAAACACTGGACCCAGACATCTTGGAGAATCTTCTGGTTCTGGCATTAACTGTCACCCTGTGTTGTACACTGAATGAGCAAATGATAAGGTAGTGCCTTGATACCTAAGAGTTAAAATGATTTCCCAAAGAGCCTAACTTACCTCAGAGAATAGTCCCGGGAAATTCTACTCAATCCCTAATCAAATGAACTTTAGATTTTCCTTCAAAATGAATAATTAAATAATGGTGTAAAGAGCATGGGGTTTATGGGATTTATTGGCTTACAAATATAAACACTGACAAAATGAACTTTGTTGAAATAACCAGTGAAGTCTTTATCAAAGAATACTTATTTCTTTGTTTGCTGTTAAGAAATATATCATGAAATAAATGAAAACTATAAATCATCTAGACTTATATTTGCTTAAACCTTGAAAATAGATTTAGCTAGAAAATATACTAATTACATGACAGTAGCAAAGACCATTAGCTTTATAGATAATTGTATGGTCTAAATAAAGCAACAACAAAAAATAGGAGGTTCTTATAATCTTCAGAACCATTTCAACTTTATGAATTCAGAGAATTATTACAAACAACTTGATTCATTGGCCCAAGTTCTTTAATTGATGATGTCTAAGCAACTAAAATTTTCATATCGGCTATACTTTGTGATGATTATAATTAAAAATACACATAATCATCTCTATCCTTTTGATACCGTCCATCCAGTCAAACACGTATCTCCTGACATTGTTTTACTTGAAAATGGATCAGATGAGTTTTACCTCAAGCTCCATCTTTTATACCTTTCTGAATTCAGTATCTATTAGTTGTTGAAGTACATTAAAATCTTGATGGAAAAAAAATGAACTTTGAATAGATACCTTGCTGTCCATTTTTTTTAATACAGATACACGTCCAAAATCTTCCGCACATTTCCTTCACTAGAGTCAGTATTTGGGGAGGACATGATAGCTCAGTCACCATCTGTGATAATGTGTTTCTTTTGACAGGAACGTCGTAAGCAACAGCAGTGGGAAATAGTACACAAGCATATGGAGACTGCACAAAAAATTGCTGCTCGGGCCTTCGCTCAGCGTTTCCTGGCTGACCTTCTTCCATCTGTGTTTGGCAGTCTCAGGGATGGTGGCTACTTCTATGACCCCGTTGAAAGAGGTTTGTGGAGGTTTTTGTTAGATTCACTGTTCTAATAAGCATCCTGTTAATGGTTCACATTTATCTCAGGCCCATTTTATTTTCAATTGGAACTTTCCGTCTCCGAAACAAATAAAAAAGTCAACTATAGTTGCTTCAAGTATGTACCATTGCTAATAAGAAGTGTATCATAAAGATCTTGATTTTAGGATGTTAGCTTTTCTTTATCGAGAAGCAAAATTGGATAGTAGAAAGAAATTGCACTTGATGCCAGAAACTTGAGTTCAGGCCACGGCTGCATTGTTAACTGGCTGTATAACCCTTATCTTCCCCATCTGAGAAATGAGAATTATTTAGGAGTTAAAGTCATAATGTGTATGAAAACTTCGTGTAAGCTATAAAGCACTATGTATGTGTAAACAGTTGTTAAACTTGTTCTCAGCTGACTTTCTATTCCAGTCAAAACCCCTTTGGGGCCAGCCATTGAGTTCATTTATTCATTTAACGATACTAATTAGGTACTCGGAGCCCTGGTGGCGCAGTGGTTTAGAGTTTGGCTGCTAACCAAAAGGAGATTGTGCTAGGCACTGTGTTAGTTGTTGGAGATTAAAAAAGAAGAAGGCCTGATCTGAGTCTTTGTAGAGGCCATTGGCTGTCAGCTATCTCTTAGCGTCCCCCCAAAGCCGTCCCTCCTCACCTGGTCTGGCCAAATGAAGGGTAAGAGGTTTTCCATTTTCACACCGCCACCCTCCTTCCTAAGGTTAAAAAGCACTTACATCCACAATGCTTGGTTGTTAAAATCCTATTTGGCCAATAGTATTTTAATAATGTTAATTTGTACTGCTTACATATTCAATTTTCCTAGAGATCAGATGACAGACAATATCATTAGTTTAAATGTTTATCGTACTTTCCAACATAGTACTTTGCATGCCTTAGCTGTTGAATAGATAGAGCAGATGTAATCCCCATTTTTCAAGAGTAGAAGCTAAAACTCAGAGAAGCTAAATGTTTTGCTCCCAAATACTCAGTTGGCCAGTGGACGTGTTTAGGTCTCAAACTCACTTGGAACTCTGACTCGGCAGGTCCAGTGTTCTTTCTGTGAGGCCTCCCACTGTGAGTCACAGATGCCAGTAACCTTTTTCCTATTATGGATTGCTGACCTACAGAAACAGTCAATTATAGATCACTTAAAAGCTTGCGAATGAAATTCATGCCCAAGATTAAAGTTATTTATAGTTGTGAAGATAATAGTCTCTCATTCTTCATTGTCTCCCTATGAAAAATAATTAGATGCCTGCCCCCACCCCCTCCCCCCCCAAAAAAAGTTCTGTTCAGCTTCCCTCAGGCCCTAGGCTTCAGGTGGGAGTCTTCTTTTGACTGGCGTGGCCCAATTCCAAATTTGGGCTGTTTGAATTGGAGCTCTGCCCCCATGTCCACATCTTCTACCTGCCTCTTTGACTCACCTCAAAGTACAACCTGTGAAGTAAGCTTTGACTTCAAAGAAAGCTTCATGATTCTGAAAATAGTTTTTCTAGTGCAGTAGAAAGAAAACTGACCAGAACATATATAGCAGAAGAGCTACTTCTGAGAAATCAGCCATGGAAAACCTACTGAGCACAGTTCTTCTCTGACATACATGGGGGCGCCATGAGTTGGGATTGACTCAATAGCAACTGGTTTTGGTAATGAGTCTAATATTTTGTATTAAGAAAACAATGTTGATGAATCCATTACATTAGGAAAAAAGCA